TCCGATTAAAACGAACTCTATGTTCAAAGTCTTCTGCGAAGGTAGTAAGCTTTCATCTTCTTAGGGCTTGCTAAGCATTTGTAAAAATCCAGGATCATATTCACAAAATAAGCTTGTACAACCATGGTCTTAATCTTTCCCAACTCTTTTTCTTCTTTCTTTCCTTAAAGACATCTCTTTTCTGACCATCTTCTTTACTATAGAACTTTAGCCCCCCAACTTACGTATTTCAATGATGCTCCTGACTGTGATCCATCTCAATTTCAACATTTTATCTTATCGCCCTGAGCCTTCTCTTTCCAAATAAGATTTTTTGTTATCTTTATGATGCATATACAAGTTTTCAACAATAGTAATAATATTATTTTCATTAATAGAAAAAAACGTTTTCATGCCTTTATTTATTTCACCTCAGTCTTGTCATGTTTGGGAAACCTTTTATTATCGCTATCATTATCTTAAAAAATAAGCATTTATGTTTGAGGTCATACAGCTTTGAAAAGGAATTCTTCAAAAAGATAACTCTTCAGTGAACCTATCTTTTTTGTGTCTGAATGGGTTTATTCCGTTTTTTTGAGATAAAAAACTTACATCTCGTTGAGAAACATTCTTCATGAAGAACGCAACTTATTCATCTTTTAGTCCATACTATATCACATTTTTCATTGATACAGCAGTTGTTACACAGTTTTCTGATAAGATTCTTTATAATCTGTTGCGTGGTCACAATTTTGCTCCAGACACTAGCACTTGCACCAAACTATTGACATACATTAACTGTGCTATCCGTACAAGTTATTAACAACCGTCTTTTTACCGGAAAAAACTGTAAACACCAGCTGTGTTTGTGGGTATCAATGCCAAGGTTGAACTTAATAGTTTCAAATGAATTGAGTATTGGGTTATTTATTTACTCTGAAGAAGTGTCTTATACTAAGTTATAAAACGTCAGTAGGACAATTTGTTACCAGATATGCTTCTTTGAGGTGGAATACGGAACAACAATTTTTATTTTACTAATCCTAACTGCTTACTCTTTGAACCTTATAGATTTTCTGGTAACCAATCTTTTCCTTATACAAAATGCATAGGACAACTGGTTAGAAATAATTGCGCCAGCTGACATCCGGTGGTTAGTAAATAAGTTTTTCTCTCAAGAATTTGGGCGACATATTTTTCCAACTTTTAGTGAATATAAGTCTTGTAGTCCTAAAGGAATGACTTACATCAGAAGAAATCTCCTGAATTTTCATCATTGCTTTACAGATTAAACCATAATTTCAAATAAACCTATTACTTTTTCAATATTGCTTTTACCAATGTGAATTAATTCAATATAGGCACAAATATCTTCAGAGCGATCATTGAATCGCTTATTAGGACTCGTCAATATATGATATTTTTTATAATAAAAACTGTTCGACTTGCTTTATTGGTTTTCGGATATTAAAGATTCCCATTGTGAAAATTAGAACAACACATATAAGAAAACAATTGTTTTTAATTAGATTGTCATCAGGCTTTACTATATTATACATGAATATTTATACGAAAATGTTGAACCAATCAAGTCAATTTTAGTCAATAATCACAATGAAAGAGAATAAGTCATTCTTAACTTTCAGTTTGACCATTATCTGTGAAGTTTATCATAATTTCATTAGTTAATGCATGTATAAATGCAAGCGCAAGTTCACTTGTTCGACTTTGGTGTCCTGCTTGAGTATCTGGGCTTTCTGTTCCTGCTATCTAAATATTTCAACAGGTCATCTCTTTTTTTGGTTTAAAACATCTTTACGTCTAATAATCGCATAACTTATTCAGGTGCATTTATGAGAAGTTTGCGACATATCACCTTACAACTTACAAAAATGTACAGTCAGAGAGATCATGGTGGATGGCAATATGCATTGAAAAGAATGAACATTATTTAAATGTCGATTCCTGAACTACTAACATGTAACTTGAGATGACTTAATATTCATCATCAGGATCGATCAAGAAATAATAATAATAATAATAATAATAATAATAATAATAATAATAATAATAATAATAATAATAAATATTAAGCTAGAAAGGTTTTCACTTTTTGTTTCAGTTTCGTGTTAAGCTAACAAAAGAAATTAGATGGAAATTAATTCCAAGCATTAGAAAATCTCAGAAAAGAATACTAATTAACCATGAACTATAGGAGAAAGAATATCAACTCTTATGAGAAGAGATGGATGGTGCTAACAGAGGAATTCAGGAAGCGGGTTTCATCCTATTTAGGGCTCATCAGTCAGATATATCTTGATCCAAGAGTTGATTTTTACTTTGGAGCTTGTACTCAGTATCATTCGCTTTAAACCACCACGTTATCTACTTAGTTACTGAATTTAGATAGCCACCACTTTGTGCAATCAGGTGAAGTTTAATACATTTTTTATTGATTGTTTGGATCGTCACATTGATGTTTAGGTCTGTATTGGTATATATGCATGTTGTGTGGATTGCCCCACTATTATCATTAAGTCACAATCACTATAAGTCGTGATGAATTAACTGTTTCTTTAACTATTATTAAAATTTTCACTATTTTTGTCAAGTTACCTACCTGTTAATTAAACTAATATCAAAATCAATGAGATGTTTGTAAAGCAGCAAAATAAGTGATCGATATATATATATATATATATATATATATATATATATATATATATATATATATATATCAGCGAAATCAGCGAAACTGTAGAACTCAACTATTAATTTTGATTTAGTTAAAGCACCTAATCAATTGATTTCGTGAATTATATACATAAAATGAATTATTGATTAATTGATGTTAACTAATCCCCGTTCAAATTTAATTACTGTGCGGATATTTAAAACTATATATATATATATATATAAATATATTATAGCAACTATCCTATAATCCTATGATTTTGGTTAAGTAAGCTCTTTTATTAACTTAACAGACATTGTTATTTGAGCAGTAACAATTCGCATATTGCTTTATACTATTATGATCACCAGATCACATGACAGACTCGAAGTAAAATGTTGATCGGTTAAATATCACTCGATGACTCATCCTCTTCCCCATGTATATGTATGTATTCAAATCATATTATTAGATTTTACTTTGCGTTTCTGAGCCTTTATGCAATTTGACTATAAATTTGCTTATTTAATTGCTGGTATGTACTTATTCATCTCTCCGCTTCAAATTCGCTCGATCTGCTTATAGCTATATAATCTGCGCTATCCGCTAATAAACTGTAGTTGCCGCTTCTCATTGCCTTCTGATTTTAAACACCGTTGAGATTTATATTATAACGGTTATCAAGCTGATCGATTAGCGAAGCAAAGCCACTACAATATATATATGGTCATGGTATTGTAGTAAACGAGGACCCAAGTGGGGATAATGGAATATACTTGAATACAAAATTACAGAATTTCTTAGTGAAATCTGGGAACCATGCAGTAAATACTTCATTTGCAGAATGTTCATCAATTGTCTCAGACTTTATTTTCCCTTCGTTTCCATACCAACCACTCCCTGTTCTCATTTTCTTCTCTTCGACCTTCTGCCGCCAGGTATTCCACTTTCGGTTGGTGATGATACATACCACTTACATCTGTCAACATCACTAGCACACACCACAGTATGAATTAATAAAAATCAATCTTTAAACCCCATTTCTTTCTGTGTTCATTTGTCCAAAACTCCAATAAATATGTTTAATCTACTGGTGTAGGTAACACTCTTTCGACGAGAGAAGGAACCATGCCATGTTAGAACTGGAACCTACGATTAAGATTGTATTCGTTGTATTGTATTATCTTCCAAATGTTTCACTTTGTATAGTCAACATCTATGTTTTAATTTAACGAAATGACTATTTTATAGATTTTTATAATCATTTGTTAAATATATTTAAAGTATTGTTGTGTCTTGTTATTGGCCTACGATGTGACGGATTTAGGGAAGGAAACGACTGAGCGGTGAGACTATAATTTATGGACGACCTTTGGGCGATGTTAAAGTGGCCTTGAGAATGTCCGCCTACTTGTTACGGTTACATGGGAGTTATAAACCTGTGTGAAGAATAAGAATTATGACTTACAGTTGATAGTTATGGTTAGGAATTAGATTTAGTTCTCATCACGAACTGACATCAGCTAAATCCCAAAATGATCTTTAACCAAATGGCTGGATGAATTTCGCGCCAAAATCCAAGACCTGTTATCATAAACCTGATTGATTCGACTATAAATTATAGTCTCGCCGACTGAGCTATTCTAATACGATCGGTTCTCTCCAGAACCGACAACAGTAAATTATACTCGATAAACCAAACCTCAATGGCTAAAACAGGAAGATGGAATTGCAGGCAACCTGATATTTTTGGTAGAACAAGCAACTCAAATGAAACTGGTACAAGAGTTGTTACTGTAGTAGCAAAACATGACAACCAGAGGGCAAAGGTCGTGCGGAAAATCAAAATGGCAGAATGTATGCCAGCGGTTATCGTTCTATAGATCTTAGCCTTTCTAATAGAATTTGACTATTCTTGCGAACACCTTAGCAAGTATATATTCGTAAATAACTAGCCTGAATAAGTGAAGTGGAAGATTCAGTAATAATGGAGTTTTTTATTAAAAAAGATTCTATATTGACGTTATGGGAATTAAACTGTCTTCTGCCAAAAATGTATTCGGCAACACCTAGATAAATAGACTCCAAGATTTAGTTGAACATTACAAGAGCATTTTGGTTAGTATATTAATATAATAGCTGTTCATCGCATACATTTGGATAGTAGTTTAGTGGGAAGACTATTCAGTTATCATATTGAATATCTGAGACACCAAAGTCTATGTATTTCTCAATCTATATGTTACATTCTACACTGATCGAACGAATTTATTAGAGTTTAATATACTGCCACTTAAATAACATTGTTCAGACAAACTATTCACATAGACAAAGACTTGTTTAATTTAAAAGTAATTGTCTTTAAATGTAATAAATCTTCCGATCAAAAAAGTTTACTAAACTATTACCTCAAGCAATCCTGACTATTTAGTACGGAAACTTCAATAAAACGAATCATCGATTATGTACAGAATTACACTAGAAAAAGGCTCTATGAACTATGATATCTCATGAAGAACAAATTATAATCTCTCAAAATGTTACTAATTAACTTTAGCGTATAAAGACGTATGTCTAAATCCCAGCGAACTATAGAAAACTCAAATGTTAACATTTTAAGTAAAACAATATCAAACTGTAGTAAACAAAAGAAAACTCTTCAATATTGTTCATAATGAAACAAGGATCGAGGTTGAACAAGACAAAAGTTATAACGAAGACAACAACAATAACCATCTAACAAATGTATTTTACTAGATATAAATAATTTTTCATGGGATAACAAGATAAATGGGACCAAATTGAAGTAATAATGATAACAATAAATTGGAACAAACAAACAATTTGTCTATTAAGTACTGAATTCATACAATGTTTTTTTACATTCTCCTTATTTCAATGGATTGTATTGTATTGGCTTTCATCATGAAATAGATCAATAACTATCGTAGAAAAAGACAGTAACATCACAAATTGACATCGTGTTAGAAATAATTTGAAATAGACTAACAAAAACTAATATTGCTTTGAATAATAGGCACAAATTCAAACATATGTATACATTAGAATGCAAAAAGAAAAATTGAACACTATTAATAAGTAATGGTTGCTGACATAAACTTCTTGAAATGTACAGAATTAATTTAAATAGAGTGAAATAAATAAATTGAGAATATTGAATATACTAATGTATTTATTGAAATGTGTTCACGTGAGAAATTAGCCAGCATAGACAACAACAAAAAAAAACACCAAGAAGGATAAAAAATAAATCTGAGCACGATAAATAAAAGTAAACATAACTGAACTGAATTATCTTCTGTCAATCATACAAATCATTCTCCTATAATCCGAGCTGATCATCATTATGATCGTCAATCACTGACTGTTTAGACAGGAGATAATAATAATAACGGTATTTTACTCATAACAAAATCTGAATAAAAGAATAGATATTTGTGTCTGTGGTATATGTGCTTTGGAATACACATCCATAAACAATAGCTATTATTATTATAAGAGTGGGTTGATGAAACAGATCATGAAACGACTGACGAAAAAGGAGATACAACTCTGTGATATTCCGGTGGGGAATGACCGAGTACAGCACCCTCAGTAAGAACTACAGTTGATATATCCGATCCTGGAACATCGTAACGTGGCTGCAAGAGTAGATTTTCCTATAGAACAAAACCAAACAACAACAAAAAGTCGAATCAAATTCATTTGTTAACATCGGTGTAAAAATTAATAAAGAAAGTATTTAGTTAGATACCCTCGCCTTTGCTTACCATAACTTTTGTCCATAAATCTTATTTTTACTTACTTGTTTTTTCTCTTCTCCTTTCCCTTTCCAATTTCATTCATTTCTATAAAAATGGTCCTAATTTAATATACTTTATTATTTATATTACTACAAAGGTTATATAAAGTAGATAGCATGTAACTAGCAACATTGGAATCTAGATATTTCATTCTACTTAAGACTCGTAAGCTGAATGTACCTGGATCCTAGTATCGATATCCACATTGGAATTTAGTATCAGTGTACCTTGAGTTTCAATAAACCCAACACATTTATCCGTGAACAATTGAGTCCACATAATCAACGGCATTTTTTTCAATAGATATGAGTTAAATTCCATTTTTAAGTGGTTTAAAATATCTCAAATTACTGATATTCTCCTTACAGAATGAATATATAATACAAACTAATACTGATCAAAAATTTAGTTGAGAATATCAACAAAAGAATAATTCAAATGTTAACAAATTGAATTATTACAAAAGTTGTTTTTATCTCTCATCTTCTTAATTACCATTTACTTTATGTATCACTTTCATATTTGAATTTAACTATATTCACAGTTTATACATTTTACTCTATTGATTCGATATTTCTTGCGTTCCATAAAGAAGTACACTGATATTATCAATAAGGTATGAAAGAACAATACAAATCAATTCAGTCAACAATATTTGATAATGTGAATATTATTTATTTCAACACATAGATAATGGTACAAAGAGGCACCAAATACATATGCGCCACACAAATCTCATTCGATATGTGTGAGGGCTGTGATACTGCCCGGGTGACCAAACCGAAACAGGTGGTTTTCTTAGGGGGCCACACCCCGAGCCTTCGACCTGAAGGTCTGATCCACAAGGCAGTGGAGCATCGTAAGGAGATGCAGTCCCATGGTAGCCGGTGACCAACAATTGGTTCATTCGCCATTTGTTCCCGCAGGATACTGGAGCCCATGTGCACCATTGGTTTGGAATCCGGTTAAAGCGCCGGACGTTCGCTTTTCGTCCTCTCATTTTCGTAAACAACACCCCCGCCACGAGAAGGCAGTGAGTAGGACTTCCCTGGCAGAGGCTTTATACGCATGGCCGTGTGAGAGTATTTCGAGAGGGAGAGCGGACTCTCCCCACTCTCGGCCGTACCAGGGCATTTACAATAGTTATTATAATATTAATATCATTATCAAATACTAAATCACTATAGCTTCAATGTAAATTAGATTAATTTGAATTAGGTCTAATTAATTCTTGTATGAAATGTAAAAATTATAAAAATTTAATAAAACGCCAATATATACATACACCTTTTAAGAATCATTCTCTCATTTACACTGGAACTAATCAAATCAACAGTAATACGTGTAAGTTATCAATGAAAACCACATGCAAGGATCAATACGACTAGGGTGTGAATTATCAGGCAGATTAAGTAATCTTGACTAAAGTGAATTACAAGCTAACAACACTTTGAAAATATAAAATTAAACTATCAATTGTCCTATAACTGGTTTTAACTGTATAAAGAAGCTCAAGTTTCAGTTGGTAAGACAGTTTAATTCGATAGCTGACAGCTTAGATTTATTTACTACAAAATTACTAGCAGTAACATCAATATAGATATTTCTCATGTTAGAAGCAACGACAAACAAATTATACTAATTATTTTTTAAAGTATCGTGAAAAATTGTTTTCCTTGTGGGTTTTTTGTTTACTGATTCAAAAATAATGTTAACCGGTCGATCATTATCTTCACTATATATATATATATATATATATATATATATATATATATATATATATATATATATATATAGTGACTTGAATTGAAGAATCAGTGTTGTTAATAAGTTAAATGTTGGAAAATATGGAAATCTCGAAACAATTTTTTGGATTGTTATGTATTCCTTACTCTGCTCTCCTCTACTTAGCGGATGGTTGTGCTTAGAGTACGATTTCCTATTTGGTGTGTTGTATTCAGCGATTTCAAGCATATTATTGTATGCGTTTTGAGTTACAATAAAATCAAAGTATATAATAGAAGTTGGCTACTGACTTTTCTTAGGACTCAAGACAAAGAATGGGGAAAGATTTGAGTAAAGAGGACCGATAGAAATTTATGTTGCGTCACATCACGGTTGACGATGCGGATCAGAAGTGCAATTGGTCAAGTCTAAGACACTAAGCTATAGAAGAAATAGTAGATATGGTACAGAAAAAATTATGATCGGAATTCTAATTAGTAACTTTAACACATGATACCAATTAGAGATTTCAAGTTATAACTAAAACAATGAAATCATATAATTTTTTGTTTTCCATAAACTTCGTACATTTTTAAAAATAATGTAATATAATAATTGAAGTGATAAAGTTCCATCGAAAGGTATGGTAAACTGATAACGTAGAATAAGTTCATTCATTTGGCTTAGAAACAATTTAATAATACTGAATCGATGGCTCAACAGAATCAAAGTAAATAAATATTTTGATTTTACTCAATAAGGAAAAGGCAACTACTGATTTATCAAGTACTGATTTATGTACTCAGATTTCTGGGGACACTTTATATGTGAGAACCAATGACATCAGTCGGCTTCTGATGCTGACACAATATGGTGTGGGTTTCGAACATGTGGCTTAGTGATTGTGAAATGAACAGTTTCACCACTAGATATCACCGTTAAGTAATCAAATCCAGGTCAGTGTACATTTTTATTATTATTTGAACATATATATATATATATATATATATATATATATATATATATATATATATATATATATATATATATATATATATATTTATATATATATATATATATATATTGGTACAGGAGTGCGCCGAATATATATGCGCCACACCAGTGTACATTTATTATTCTAAGTATAATGAAGATAAATAGTTATTAAGATGGACATCTAAGTAGCAAAGTTTCAGTTGCTAATAAGTCAATCATTAAAACTTAAACTGGATAATGTTTGTGTGACAGTTCCGTACAATTTATTATATGAAACCTCATATTCCAACTACTAACATCACAAGAATTTTAACTCGTTATATATAATAAATAACAATAATGGTGGAGAAGATTTGTAGCTCAAAATAACAATAATCTACGTAGAAGTTATTCAGATAACTAAATGATTCAGTAAATTTCTACTAGGATCTGATGATAAGATAGAATATCGGAGATAAGATAAAATGGAACACAAAAACTGAATAAAAGTTTGATTTTAAAGGTTCTATTTAAATTTAAAATTCAGTAGTAATTCCTCACTGAGTTTTATCCATGTTTATTTGACATGGTGATTAAATCCACTAAATAATTATTTCTTGTTTCATATCCCTACAAACAATTAAACAAGCAAAATAACATTCTCTATAAACCCATTCTGAGTCTATTTATTATCGACTAGGTTATATAAAGGACATTTAGATAGATAGACATATAGTTGCACACACATAGACACACCCAAACAAATTTCTCTTAGAACTAACAGGAATACAATATTTAAGGTCAAATCATTGTAAAAAAAATATGATCGTTAAAAGGACACTGTGACCTTAAACTGACCAACTTAGAAATAAAAACTGACAGGAATCATACCAACATTTAATTTAACCAACTTAAACAACAATGCAAACATATTTGAGATGGTATTCTCTCCCTCCAAAAGTAAAATAATGCTTAAAGATTGACTTGTGTTAGCGCCTGAATTAATGATAGGAAGTCAAGTAGTTGGACGCTTTACCTGATGATCTGGTGTCTAACAAAATCTTCGCACGATTTCAGAGGGCTGGATTGACTTTTGTCAACTTGTCACTTGTTGCTTAAGCGAGATATCCATCTCCCAAACAAAGACGAGTTCACGGCGCACTTCGTCCCGTTCCACATTATGAGTGTGAAGTATGACCATTAAGGCTAGAGGATACATGTGGGTTACTGGTATTCGACCATAGGTGTCTTCGAAGCATTGCTCGAGTATTTCGGGACCACAGAGCAAGCCATACCTAGATTAGAAATAGAGTACTAAGTAAAGATGGGAGATCAATTGATGAAGTAGTAAATCTTCATCAACTGAGATGATTTGGACATACGTTACGCATGCCCAACCACTGCCTGCCTCGACGAGGGATGTTGTTTGATATAGGAGTGGGTTGGAAGAAAGCTACCGGCAGTCAAACCGAAATGTCACCAATCCACGAATTCATTGAGTTTATCTGAACAACGTTGTCCCCATGATTATCGTAACCGGTGGTTAGAGACCTTGAGTGACATGGCTGAAAACCGTTTGCAATGGCAAATGTACATCCATTCTTTATCTTCCTTCAAATTCTTAGTTTCTGAATTCCCCCATAACATTTTCTTGTGAATTTATGTTTTCTTGAATCATATTTGCGATCCCTAATCCTTTCTGTTATTATCACGAATACTGTTACTACTTTTACAACTCTGGGATTTGGACTAACAATTTCATCTCACCGTACTAATGGGGTATGGCAACTTAAGCCGATATACATACATACCAGGTTCTATGTTGCGACTGACTGAATTGGATACATTCGTACAATTTCACTTTACCTACAAATGACTGACTTGATCGTTTTACGTGAGAGAATGGCGATGAAGTTCATACACATTAGGACCCCAATTAGAAAAACAATGTTTTTTTCAATTGTAACACTTGAAGTTAATAAATAACAATTATAACTGATTCATAGCTACCACCATCGTCTAAAATAGCAACTAATAACTTTTTTGGATTGATATAACCAATTGTGACTTATCTAATCATTTCTCAAATTATTAATAAACCAAAACAGTGTAGTGAAATGAAGTTGTCCATCAAATAGTAAGTTCAGTACATATCTTGAAAACCTTTAACAAATAAATCACTTTAATATTCTTGAAATAACTCCGCCTATAGCTCTTCTAGGGTTACCGCCGGTCCCATGCCCGGGCAAAGGAGAGTTGAGCATGAGGTCAGCAACCTCATCTGCCTAAAAATCAATAACTACAATAAACAATCTATCCTTGAACTGATATATCTCAATAAAAGTAATATTTATTGACATTAAGTTATTATTGTTCTCATTTTATGACATCAATGTACAAAAATCAAAACGATAAGAAAAAACACAACAGTACATAGATTTACATTAAATCCACAGCTGTTACAAATTTGCAGATATGCTATGTAGATGGTTTTATATGTGAAGTTGTTCTATGCTCAATTTACACACACAACAACACAATAAAACAAAATACAGAAGATTTTAATCGATGTATTGATTATAGAAAATTTGTTTACCATTTGTAATATTATTATTTGATTTCGTATAAACAATCGATTTAGTTGCTAAACTGTAGGGCTAAAATATGTCAAGGCCGTATTCTAAACTCATCCCTGCATATATTATAATTCTCAAGCGAATTTCTACCTATATATATATATATAATAAATGTTTAAATTTATTGCCGATAAATTCTGCATGGATTAAAACAATGCCAATTTTTATATTGTATAAAGTATGAACACTTTCATTTATTTAAAACTTATAATTTGATCATAAGTCAGATGACAATTGTCCAAAACTGGATCTTTAATTTTTACAAATAACTATGAAAGCATAAAGTTCCTTGATTAAAAATAAAATCATCATTAACTTACTAGATTAAAGAGAAAAAACATCACCTGATTGGTGAATTGAAAAACTGCGAGATAATATATTAGTACACATTAATAGTACAAATAGTTTTAGATTGAGGGAATATACTATGCAAAAACAAATTATTTTTTTATTTACTAATTTGGGAAATAGGATAAAAGTTCAGTACGAAATTATTTCTTTAAAGAAAGTGACAATATTCACGCATAAAGTCTACTGTTAAGAAACACTTAGAAGAGTATGGATAGGGGATATTGGAGAATTATACTATTAAAAGCCTTGGATAGAATGTGATGGCTTTAAACAATCTATAGGATCGCATAAAAAAAACTAAGTCCCAAATGCAGAGAGAACTTTATAAATATAGGCATAAATTGTCTGGTTTCGAACCGTAGGAACGGTAACTCAATCAGTGTCACTATCTTGAAACGTCGACTTTGATGGTTTAGACAAGTAATATAAATGTTGTACCAGCGAGTTCTACATTGTGCATAATTTGCCGATGGTGTAACCGGTTGAAAAAAGTGGAAAGATGGTCAGTGCACGATATGGTGTCGTGGTATGAAGGAAAGCTGCACAGGACTGGCTTCTGTTTTTTCTTCATGACTACCTGGTTAGGGTCCTATAGATAGTGTAACACAGTAACTTGAGACGCTGTCAGAAATGGCTCATAATAAAAGATAATGGAGAACCTACCGTAACTTCCTCCATAAAAGTGAACGTAACTTTTTTAACTGAAAGGATTCTTTCTGGTTGTATTTTTCCTGACTGAAATACTTCCAATATTATTATTATTATTATTATTATTATTATTTTATCACTATTCACTCACACTAATTTCTAGTCATCTTTGTCCTATTTTGATTATATTCACTTTCCTTTCTCCATCACTTCACAACCTCCTTTTATTGTGTGGCACATATATATTTGGTATCACTTGTACCAATTTTTACTTGTTCAAATAAATAAAATTAGTTTATTATTGTTTCGCTTTAGTCAAATGCTTGAATCTATAAAATCATAAAAGTATTTTCATTTGTTTAAGGAACAATGAAGTTGATGAATTTCTACAAAGTGTAATGGTCCAGAGATCAATCAGTCTCGTGGCAAGTGATTCTACAATAATGTCGGAGATATTAGATCCCCAGAAATCACTTGGTTAACGTCTCATTTTTGTAATTTTATTCTAGAAATTTGAATTTGAACCAAATGGGAAATACAATCGGAAGGTAAAAATAGGCTCTTTCAGCGCGAAAACTTGAAATTCAAATTTCTAGAATAAAATTACAAAAATGAGATGTTAACCAAGTGATTTCTGGGGATCTAGCATCCTCAACAAATGATACCTTCTATAATTTATGAATAAATAATATAGTTAAACTGGAAGTGAATAGGTCAGACATAAATTTATGTAGCTTCATACATTTAGCCGATGACTTTTATTACATTAAAAACTTAGAATAAATAATGAAAGAACATTGTTCCATTTAGTTAGATTTCAATCAATCAATGCATAAAAAGACAAAGGAATGGTACCACTTTTTTCAACATTCTTTGTTGAAAAGCTCTTCTTTCTGAAATCGAATCGCAAGTCCGACAGATCGTTTCTACGACGCACGTCCTATATTAACTACTATCCATGCTCCTAACGCTTAATCAACTGAAGATAAAGAAAGACTGTGAGGGAATTGTGTTGCAAAAGGTCGGATGAAAGTACTCAGATTTCACAAGTATTTGTAAATAGACAGACTAACCCAGGCATGGACATATGTATAGTGAACTAGGTTAGATGAGTAATTTACTTATTTATTATGGCTGATCTATACATGCTTTTAGCTTGTTATGTAGCCTTGAGAAGGTGTGATTTTTCTGGCTTTGGTCATTCTGTCAATGTGGACTATAACTAACAAGAAATATCAGTTCTTTGAATATAAGTTGTACAATGCAATTAATTAGTTACAATTGATTGATCACTGGGTGGTGATCAATGTCTTGCTTGTCTAGTCCTTATTAGTGCAGATCGAATGCTATCGATCATGTTGCAATGTGGCCAATGTGACTCGACACTGCGGGCACTATGTATTGAGATTTAGATGGTGGTTGGAGGTAGTCAACAGAAAACCCTGGACCCGGGTTTCGTGCTACTTGGCACTCGTCAGCAAGGTGTACCTGCAATCTTGAGGGAACTGGTGCTCCCTGGCGGATTCGATCTCGTGTCACCCAGCTTCACAGTCAGAGACGTTACCACTGAGCAAGACATTGATCACCACCCAGTGATCAATCAATTGTAATTACATCTCAGTCCTACAGGAGGTTAGTCACGGCTCGGATAGCTCAGTGGTAACGTCTCTGACTGTGAAGCTGGGTGACACGAGATCGAATCCGCCAGGGAGCACCAGTTCCCTCAAGATTGCAGGTACACTTTGCTGACGAGTGCCAAGTAGCACGAAACCCGGGTCCAGGGTTTTCTGTTGACTACCTCCAACCACCATCTAAATCGCAATTAATTAGTCTGATAATTCAACATCAAAAGGGTTTGTGATGTTTGTCTTATCCTAATGAAAATGAATTTCCAGTCAATGATATAGTGAATATCACGAAAACAAAACCTTTAGAAAAAAACTAAGCTACTGAAATAAGCATTCGGTCCTATTTAATTACTATTAATGTCAAGGAAGAAATGTTGTCACGTTGACAACGCTACTACTAGCACAAATGTCTAACAAATAAAGCCAACACTATCATGAAATAAACTGATCATAAAATTAGAGCTATTGACATCAATTGTATGACATAAGATCATTATTCGCATAATTATGTTTTGTTTAGAAACCCATGAGTATTCAAACTTATAGATACTACTATAATTTTATCTGCTTGATTATACTGACATTATTTTATTTTGCTAATGTAACACCAAAATATATGTAAATGTACTCGGTTTTTAAGTAACATTGTATGAGACCTGAATAAATCGAATAGTGCAGGATTAAAATCTCAGACCTATTGGTTGAAAGTGTAATTCCTCTAAACACCTATAACAATGCTCCATGGACTGGGTGAAACATGTTTAAGCATACATCTAATTTTATTAACAATATACAATTTGGAGGAAAGAGTATGAGAGGTGAGGGGGTCATAATATGCACTTTAAAAACAAAAGTTCAATGAATGTATCAAATCAATTCAACAAGTTTCTATTTTTGCTTGTATTTTCCAACAAACATTGTACAACTAGGAAGAACACACTATAGTATTTTGATTTCTTAAAAGATATGAGCCCACCTCTGTCATATCCAAAGAAGATTAAATTATGGATAACTAGGAACTATTTATGGACTGTTATTATATATACATATTCTTATTGTATAACTATTAAGTAACTAGATTATCTATATTTATATTTCTCTTATTATAAGCTTTCATATGAATTACTGGCTACTATTATACGACTCATTATCCTTAAATAATTTCCAATCTATTAGTTGCAGTCTTTCACACTCACAGACACTTTTGGCTCTATCTTGTCTAATTATTATTTTACATTTTATAGTGTGATGTGGTCTAGTCTGTTTGCATATAAACCAAGTATGTCTGAAGTATACGATTCATATAGCGGAGGCTGATATTTGTGTTCTGGACTGAACCAGGCTGGGTTAGGTGAGAACCTACCATGCAGAGGACCCAGAGTTGACTCAAGGATGGTTGTGATGGTTAACGCATCATTGGTTTGGCACACGGAAAAGGTCATATAAGTCGTTGCTCTGATTGGCGATCTTGTCACGTAATATTTGACGGGCCATAGGACATAACAACTTTTATTTGAAAAACCAATTCTTTAACAATTATCATTATCGAAAATTGTGGAAAAAAGTATAAAACATGACGAATACGAATGGTATACACAAAATAAATGTAAGTAGACAATCACTAAACAAGAAATAAAAATAATCAAAAAGACATAAGAAACATGTAGTTACCAAGACTGAACGAAGACCTCGAGCTCCTGTATGTTGACTTAATGCCAGTCGAGCAATAGCTTTTAGAGCATCAGGAGTGACTCTCAGTTCACACTAAGAATGAGAGAAAAAACAAATAGAAAGGCAGAGAAGACGATCATAACAGAGAAACAAAATAGGTTAGAAAATGATATCAACTAACTGAAATCGCGTACAATATATTTAAATAAGTAAGTTATCTGAGGAGCCAATACTATTCTTCAGACATGATCGTAATCTCTGGTCTCACAATTCATTTACTATCCCTCTTAACTTCTCCTCTTAGACCGACATAGTCCTATTTCCTTGGCGTTGATGATACTTCAATTTTAAATTTATCTTATTATGGATCCCCACTCAGTGATTTAGAGGTTAGGCATTCGTAGGCAGGACTGACGGTCCTGGGTTCGATTCCAAGTTGGAGGGTTGTGTATACGGATTTCCAGAGAGTCCCATATTAAGACGAAATGGCATTCACTGCCTTCAGGTTTTCAATGGTTGTCTTAGATAGGTTCATGATTTCAATGAAATTCAGCAATCTCTACAACCCCATACTGAAAATCATCATGTTGACTAACTTACTTCCACAATTATTAAACATTATCTATTTTCTGTGCCGCTTTCGATCAATTTCTCCGGTTCCATAAAAAATCCGTTTCAAAACTCCTGATCGGAAGATACTACCTTTTAAACAGTTCTACTGCTATCACTTTTGTTATTGTTATTGCTAGTAAACAATAACATTGTAACCTGTGGTCGAGAAATAAAAATGTTAGAAAAGTATCATACACATTTATGACCAGTACAACTACGAGAGAATAATATTGCTGCTCATGCATGGTGGCCAGGTAAAGATAACAGATCGAATAATGTGGCGGTGGTGAATCTTCGTCGACTGAAGTTACTGAGACACATGAATTATGCCTATACCCAACCACCGTTCACTTCGACGCATGATAATGGTTGATGTAGGAATGTTATTGATTGATATTACTGCTACTTCAACTAGTAGTTTTACAGTCATATTACGACACATCCCGATTTACTAACGAATCTATTTTTACATTTAAAATTTCATTTTTGTTTATGTTTATGATAAACTGCAGTGTACATTTGATCGTATAAATAACTTTACTCAAAGAATTTATATTGTTTTCTCGAACTAAATTTATGTCTAATCGGTTCTACTACTATTAATACTGCTGCAACTTGTAGTAATCTGACATTTCGCTATGCTGATGTGCTGTGGCAACTTGAACCGTTGTGAATATGTGCCAGGTTCTGTGTCCGTATAATTGATCAACATCTCTTCGTTAGATCTCACAAACACGCACATACAAGTAAATAAGTGCACTATTGTTACAAGTCAGAATATTTTAAGTATAATTAATAAAGTGAGAGGAATTAATTGATCATACAGTAATTATAAAACTAACGCTTACACCATCAATATTAAAAAGTAATTGATATTGTTTTATCAGTGCATTACGTGGTTCTGTAAGAACACGAACAAGCATTTCTTCATTTAATGAATGCAGAGCAGTAATTATAGGGAAACGACCAACAAATTCTGGTATCATCCCATAAGTAATAAGATCATTAGCTTCAACTTCTTGTAACAATTTATCACGTTCAGCATTTTCTTCATGAGCTGAACTTTCAAAATTTTGAAATAAATTTACAAAATCTGTCGCATTTGGATTGACTGATGAAGTGCAATTATCTTGTGTAGTCGATTCATTCAAAGATGTCAGCATATCAAATCCAATAGTCTAAGATTTGAATTAAAACAAAGAACGTAGGTGAACGTGAATTCAAACTACAAAAATTTGAAAACTTATTAACTTGGGTGGAAAAAAGTTACAGGGATACTACTACTGAACAGTAATATAAGGAAATGACTTCTGGATCAATTTAACTAACATCACCACTAACTGACAGATAGTCCAATTTACTCGATAACGAATAGAGTATTATACAGAAATACTTTTCCAGGTATGAAGTTATGGTTGTAGATAATCGATAGGAAACTAGGTTAGGTGTCGTTTGGCACTCGTCTAAGATGATCTTGGGGGGGACTGATGACCCTTGGAGGATTCGACCTCGTGTCATCCAGCTCCACAATCGGAGATGTTACCAATGAGCTACCCGGGTAGACCTCCTGCAGGTGTGAGATGTATTTGCAATTGATTGATCACTGAGTAGCAACCAATGTCATAAATTTTAAGTCATTCGAACTCTATTGATCAAGCTGTATATATGTCATATTGGTCACTGTAAAATACATATCAAACCTGCAGGTCTACCCGAATAGCTTAGCGAAAACGTTTTTGACTGTGAATCTAGATGACACGGGATCTACCCCCCCCCCGAAGAGTATCAGTTCTCTGAAAATCACCTTGGTAATGAGTGGCAAACGGCACCGAATCTAGTTTCCTATAGAATACCTCCAACCATCACCTTATATCTCAACATACTAAACGTGATGCCGAGTCACTTAGATCAGTGTGTGTCATCAACTGACGATAACAGTCGATCATTATTTCCAAAATATGAATAGTAAATAGTAGAATGCTAAATTAATAGTACACTATGGTTAGCTACGTACGAAAACCTTCTGGTAAAATGAATACATACAACTTGACAGTCCTCTCACTAGTTAATGTAAGCTTGGCATCAGTTCACCTGAACCTGCTAAACTGAATTCACAAACAAAACTAAGTGCTCACATTCTAAATTCATTCACGGACATTGTCGGACTTTATTAGCAAAGAAGAGAACACATCACAACTTAGATTCTTCCCATAGGAAAGTTTGATTTCTTTTTCTTCAATCAGAACACTCCGATATATTTCCAGAGCATAGTTGAAACGTACAAATGTAAAATAATGAAGAGAAATCATGTATAGATATCGAGTCAACATCACCTCTGGGATGCAGGAGCGCCCAAAGCTCCAATAGAACTAAATGTCCTCCTGGGTTCCACTGCTAGCCATCATTCGTCTCTGCTTAAAATACGTGTGACTTAATGAGGATATCGGGGCAATCCGCACACGATTTGCATATGCCAAGAGAATGATCAATAGCAGTTTTAAAACCAATGGGAAAATTCAAACAACCAATACAGGTGAATAAATCTTAGTGTTTAACTAGATCTACGAATATATTAAGAATAACACAAATTAAGTATTTCAGATGACCTGAAATAAAAACGTAGGATAAAGTAAGGAAACAATAATTTGTTTAATGAATGAAATTTTTTATAGAACAACAAAAAAACAGGGACCAATCAAACCTTTTTATGTTTTCGTCGACTAATTATCTTGTCAAGTCCATTAAATGCACCACAGGCTATGAAAAGTATGTTGGTTGTATCCACTAGAAAAGTTTCACCACGTAATTTACGCGGACTTTTGACATCAGGTACGTTAACAAGTGAACCTTCTAACAGTTTTAACATAGCCTATAAATATGATTTTTGAAGAGGAAATAAAAAATAGAAAATTAGATAGTGGGGGGAAACATGAAACAAGCATTTATTTCACATAAATATTGTGTTAATAACAAACGTAGCGGCAGTAGTAAGAACCAATTAAAATACTTTTTTATTCGGGCAACAAACTAACTACAGTAAAATTTTATAACTATTATTATTATAACTTAAAAACAGATACAAAGGCGGACCAAAGTATATATTGCATCACGCAAAATTTGTGAAAGCTTGGATACTGCCCGGGCGCCCAAACCAAAGCAAGTGGTTTGTATAGAGGAGCACTCCCCGAAACTGTGGTCTAGAGATCTAGTCTACGAGGCTGTTGAGCAACGTTAGGAGATGCATTCCCATCGTATACGGTGATTAAGAATAGTTTTATACGCCATTTGTTACTTTAGGATAGTTTGGGATCAGGGTTTTCCAACTCTTGTAGATGGATCATTTGTATCCACCAACTCGGTTTAAGCTCCAGACAATCACTTTTCTTCCTTTCAATTTCGTAGACAGCATCTGCAGACTCTCCCCACCCTCGGCTCCTGCACCAAAGCATTTTGCGTCAGTAAAACTTTTATATCAGAAACATTACTCAACATGTAAAAAGTAATATAAAATATCACAACCAATTATATATATATATCCCACCTGTTGAACACCTTCACCACTGACATCTCGTGCAGCATGATGATGCCCAGTTTTAGAGCTTATTTTGTCTATTTCATCTAGAACCACTATACCTTGTTGAGCAAGTTCCACATTGAAATTTGCATTTTGTAATAATCTACCAATGGTTGATTCAACATCTTCACCAACATAACCAGCTTGGGTTATACTTGTACAATCATAAAGGGCAAAAGGTACATTTAAATAATTAGCCAAAGTTTGAGCCAACAGTGTTTTGCCTAAAAATAACAAAATCCAAAATTTTCAAGCGTTGTTGAGATTATAATATACTTATGCATCATATGGAATGTTTCATACGCCAAAAGGATTAAAGCACATTGATAAGAAAATACGTGATCATATTAAGAGTTTGAAGAAAATAAATTAATCAAAGTGAATTCTGTAACTATGGTTCATTGTTTAATTTTTAAAATATAGAGTAAAAAAGGATAAACGAAGTATTGTCATTTGAAACATGAATTAAGCATTGATATCAATTTTGATACATTAATTAATATATCTCATACGTCATCGGATTCATCACCAAAAGATAGGGCTGGGAATATTAGAAGGAATTGTTGACACAAAAGGTATTATTTTGTTGTATGGTGAATCGGTAAACTCCCACCAACAACCAAACAAGATGTTATACGCACCCCTCACCTTCAGACGCAAGTACTGGGTACCCAATGTATCGAAGTTATGTCGTCCAAGGAGTTAAAACTAAGTTCTCCAACACAACTATATCATTTTCACAGAACCAACAAAATCTCCAATTTTCCGAGCCTTTAAAAAGAACAGTCACATGGTGAAACAAGCAGGTGCAAGTATTTTTTAGGACAGAGATCCTTAATTTTTGGCGAGTGAACAATTTTTTTAAAAAAAAGAAGATTAAACTGTACTATAACTTACGAAATTTAAGTACATAAATAACACTTCTACAAAAAAAGTTGGTGATTCATTTATATGATTAACTGACTCAAGTATATTTTCAATTTTAAAAAAATAACAGAAATCAAGTGCTCACTATTGACTAGCTTCAAGATGTAACTCTTGGAGTTCTAGTGAGAGGTCGTGACAAATAGAGTCCAATATGTGTCGCGTGTGACAGTAAATGTCTAACTTTAATCAATTCACTATATTCCCCAACCATGTTCCATTGACTGGGGTTGATAACTGTCTCACACACAACGCGGTTGAAATCCATCGGTCACGGCTTTTCATTGAAACTCCAGAAATTATATATTGAAGCTAGTTAGACATTTTTATCATTGTATCCCGGATCAATGGTTTAGATATTAAGCGTTTATGTGCGAGATTGAAGGGCCTGAATTAGATCCCCGTGTGAAGTATCTTGGATGCTCGCTTCTGAGGTGTCCCAATATTAGGACAAGACGGTCATTCAGCGCTTTTAAATTTCTAATAGTAGTCTGCCTAAGACTAGTTCCTAATTTGCACTGAGAATTTAATGAGTCAAGAGACCAGTGACAATTAGGATTGTTTTTTAAAAATACCATAAAATGGCTGTACCACAAATACTCATAAAAGAAATGCAAACTAATTCACTTAAGAATGTAACCACCCACATCTCATGTTCTGCTTTCTCTGCACCTGTCGAATACAAATTACAACCCATTGTTTATTCAATACTTGTCCCAGAAACCTAGAAATGACTCTCACTGGAATATGGAACAATTTATGTGTCATTTTTAAGTGAACAAACATGATGTGTTGAGTCGTATGCTGTTACCAGGATTTTAATATTATAACAGACAGTGAATGTTCAGTAAGATTATGACTCACCATACCAATCAGTTAATTTTCCAAAATATTGAACTGATGCTACAAATCGTACGTTACTTTACTTGAAGTATACTAATAAAAAAGGGTTATTAACGTGTAAAAGTATTATGAATTGTAGACAAGTGGATTATATAGCAATACAACCCACTACTACAGGTTTCCATGACCCCATTCTCATCTGAGCAAATCATTCCATCAGTTATTAATGTTAATGAATGACTATGTCACAAATAAATAACTAATATAATTATTTGTCTTTTTTAATTATTTAATTATTCACACACACATTTACAGTGTGTAAACGGTCAGAATATTTATAAATAATAAATTTACTTAATCATACAAAGTTTTTTTCTTTTGATCGAGTGATGAAGCACAGAGAATTCAGTCAGTCAGCTACAAAGTATACTAGGCACATATATGTATCGGTCCAAGTTGCCATACTTCATTAACACAACAAGATGAACACCGAATCCGTAGAAGTAGTTAATTTAGTGGTGGTAATATATAAAAGAAAGATTTCATATGAGGACATGGTACAGGAAGAAAGAATTAGTTCGTAGAAAGAAAGACATGAAGCAACTTTAATCTCATAGTTTAAGGGAAAACAGAGAGTGTATACACCTACGCCAGAAAAAGAAGTAGAAAAAGGACAAAAGCTATTTCACATAAAACAGATTTGGAATTACTTATTTTTCAAAAATCAATAATTTTGAAATCCACATTACCTGAACCTGTTGAGCCTAACAATATAATGTTGCTTTTTTCCAATTTTAATGGACGATCAACATCATCTTTAAGAATTCGTGAGGCACGACGTTTTTCTCGATCATCCTTCATATCAGATAAATTTTCTAAAGTAATTGGAAATGGAAATGAACTTGTTGGACTGTCTCCATGTGTAAATGGATTTTTCAATGAACTTAGTGAACCATTGCGTGACAAATTAAATAATTCTAAAAATAAGTAGAATGTGCGTATGTTGAGTTCAAGAAGATAAAAACAGAATGTAAAAGTAATAATAATAATATCAGCATTTAATGAGTTCACTACGTACAAATCAAAATGATTGTATATGATACGAAAGTTATTTTATCAAGAATAAAATACAAAAACAAACAAGAATGGTCAATTGTTCAGAAACCGAAATGAAATAAGTTGATGAGATTATTGCTAATTTCTACAAGGACTAACAATTTTTCAGAAACTTTTGTGTTATTTTACACTCACGCGTGATGAACTCTAACTTTTGGAAGAACTTTCATAATCCAGCCAACATGTGACTAGTAATTCATTCCTACTATCCTAATAACTACTCTTTCCATAAGAAACTGTGGCCTTCAGCACGTATACTTCATACATTTATGTCCTTACAAATCCACACTTATGTGCGTTTGATTGTCTATACATTCATTATTCGACCCAATAGCTATCTCTTGCCGCCCCATGATATAATCTATTTTGAGCCATATTAACGCTTATGATGAGTAATATTTTAAGTAGAAACCCTCGTCTTCTGTGTTTTTATCCCTTCATTTGTCCACTGAAATAAATAAATGAAACACAAACATCCAAAACACTTATATCCGACTTTTGATACATGCGTTGCTGTTAACGGGATTCGTCAGTAGAACATATACCATGTAAGTACGATCTATCTTTCGTCTACAACATTAACGATTCGACCACATTAAAATCAGACTGCGTGCGCTAGAAATCCAATTATTTAAAACTAAAAATTAAACATACCGCATATTTTGAGTCAATCACTACTAATGATTAATTTCCAATGTAGAGAATGTAATAATAATAATTACTACCATTTTTATTATTATAACGATGCTAGTAGCAACCCTTATCAATTAATCAGGTATAATTTTTTTGTTTGCAACAAACTATTTCATCTGGAATTTTTAATACACAATGTTATAATTAGTAGGCTTGTTAGCATGATCTCTGTTCAGGGAGATGTGTTGACACCATTGATCTTGTTTAGTCATCCTAACATTTCCTTTTCTAGCCCCAGCACCCCCATATTGTGGTTTTGTTCGTGGTTTGTATTGCGTCTGGGTGTACACCTTGTGGTTGGATTTCATAGTCAGCGAGAATTTCAAACGAAAGTACGCACGATGTTTATTCTCATTGGTGTTATCTAGAGAGTTGTGATTGACATCGTGCCAACATTGTTGTAATAGTGAATAAACTTGCTGTAATTGTTGAATAAATGGATTCCTCTGTCATTGTTCTTTCACCAGTTCTGGTTTGGAATGTGAGGACAGTTAAGCAAATTATATTTCATTCTCAATTTGAACGTGAGTACTCCGACCACGAGAAACTCTTTGTTTCAGGAAATTAAAAGCTCCCAAATGCCCTGGTAAGGCCGAGGGTGAGAGGGGTCAAATCTCCTCGAAATGCTCTCACATGGTTACGCGTAAACAGCGATTGCTAGGGAAGTCCTATTCACTGAATTCTCACGAAGGAAGTGTTGTTTACGAAATTGAATGGACGAAAAGCAAATGTCCGGCGCTTTAACTGGGTTGGTGGATATGGAGGATCCACCTAGGGGAGTTGAAAAACCCTTATTCTGAACCAATGGTGCACATGGAATCCAGGATCCTGAGGGAACAAATGGCGCATAAACCAATCGTTGGTCACCAGCTACTATGGTACTGCATCTCCTGACATTGCTCCACTACCTTGTGGATTAGACCTTTGGGTCGAAGGCTCCGGGTGTGGCCCACTAAGAAAACCACCTGATTCGGTCTGGGCACCCGGGCAGTATCACAGCCCACACACAAATCAAGTGACTTGTGTGGCGCATATATATTCGGTGCCTTTTTGAACCAGTATTTATATTCAAATAAATAAATAATTTGAAAACGAAATCGTAAGTGTTTATAATCACTTTAAAATAGATACAAAGAACATGGACAACTTTCACAAACGCAAGTCAAATATTCGTACCAGATACAGGAGGTTGACTTAAACTGCTCTGATAATTTACAGGTGTGCAAGAACGTGTACCCGAAAATTCATTTGGGGAATAATGACTATTTACAGTAGGTTTGGCTTCATTTGTCCCTGAGTTTAAATTATTTGAATTAAATCCATTATCTTCTGAGGTAGCCAGTGACCGATTATACTGTATACGATTGTAATGAGTATATACTTGGACGGCAAGAATTTTTTTGGCTTTATCTTGACCTACCACATAGCGATCTAGGTATTGATGTATCTAATATAAATCGGAGTAAAGAGAACATTTCTAATGACAATAAAAAAATATATGGAACAAATACATTAAATGAATTATTTGAAGTGGTAATAATGGTGAGAAAATCTATTCGATTCTCTAGTTTGTCTTCACTTCACTACTAGAAAGCTCATATTCCTTTTCCCCCTACAAATTATATTTGAGACTGGGTTGGAAAAAAGAAGTTATACAGCACCTACAACTCACCAACAGAGCTTACTTTAGGTCAATTGTATTTGTCACTAATAAGACACAATAGATCCAAGACCTAATAACTAGGAACAATTTACAGACGTCAAATATTCCATATTAGATCATCTTATCAAGGCAAATTAATGATGGGCAATATCATTTTTAAGTGAACTAAGATTCAAACACGTAATGATCAAAAAAACGTATAACTTCATGAATATGATAAACAAGGATGAATTGCCTTCTATCAAAGCATAATGTTTTCCATCTCAACCATTTTTCAACCTTGAGTAAACAGACCAAAAATATAGGACAAGGTTTTATAGTTATTTGAACAGTAACTAGCATTGTCTGATGCAATTGTTAGTGTGCATAATCTATATTGAATAAGACAACGAAATTCACTAGATGAAAGTTTATTCCACTAAGATATATAACATTAGCTGATGCCAAATTGATCACAATGTCACAGACAATATATTTACTATTGACGAACTATAGTCCTACAAAAGATTTACTTCGGGAAAATCAGGTGATTAGTGGTTAATCAATATTTCTTTGGCTAATATCCATTTATAAGGAAAAAAACAATACGAATAAGCTGACAACAGAAAAAATAAACGGACGAATAAAACCACTTAAGGTTTACAACTGCTGATTTTTAACATCTTAGTGGATCTAATTAACCTAGAAAACACACTGCTAAATATAGTTCTATACTAATTTGCATTGTATATTTCGGTAAACCGTGACTGGGTGAAGTCACCTGTTGTTAAGGGTTTCCAACTCCATAACTAACTTACTCCTTTCCTCTCAAACTTTATAACATCTAAAGAAAATGTAACGCATACCATAATTTCCACTAAAAGTGAATAACCTTTTGAAGGCCTCTGAAATATTATATACTAAGCTATTGCAGTCTCAAATAAAGTAAGACAAAATGGAGTTTTATGAAAAATATACTGGCTCTCTAAGCATCCAGATACTCTTTCAGTGCCATACATACATATCATACGTTGATATTTAACAAAGAAGTCTTGAAACGTCGCACTTAGACTTTGTTAGACATCAGGCAATAAGCATACTCAGTCAATAATCATTATTTATAATCGTGTCAAAGAGTATTGCTATATGTTTATGAAACGCATGCGCCTAACATTTGCATACTTCCAAGATATTTATAAACTGTACATTAGATATTCACCGTCGGTACACAGCACAATTTCATTAACCGTAACCTATTAGATCTACAGATGGTCTGTAAAAAGTACCTGTACGACTACTAACCGTAAGCTACATTACAATATATTAAATTTTATCTAACGGAATAATTATACAGAAAAAGAACTAAACAATGTGTTGGATTACTACTCCAACCCCTACACTCATCAAATGCAACAAAATTAAAATTATCGAATGAATATTTGAAGAAAGTGACTGCTGAAATTCGATGAATAACGAAATATTCTAATTATCATCGGGAAACCGATTTAACTTCATCGTTTAGTTTTATAGTGATTTAGTTTACGCTAAGAAAATTCTGGTGTTAATGGTTAGGGTGTTTAAGCAGTGTACATTTGAAACTTGGAACACATACATTCGCTCGACATCATAGACATACACCATACTGATGTGCTAACAAGCGTCGACCATAAATGACTTTCATATCTGCCAAAAAATATATGGTTATTATGCCGAAACTCTTATGATCTCTAGCACTAACTACTTACCGATTTTATTTATATTTAGACTACAGGGGTCAATCGAATAGGAAGAATTAATCCGACTAATCCATCATTTTATTTTACTGTCATCACCGAAACTCGGGTTTGTACATGTTTAGATTTATTGAGCCTTTTAGTTAACTTATTCAAGTCTCATTTGTGTCGGCAACAACCGCACTATTATTATACCCAGGCTTCTTTGATCATAACTCCATCTATAGCTCTTCTAGAGTTACTGCCGGTTCCAAGCCCGGTTAAAGGAGGAAGGTTGGGCATGGGGTTAACGACCCCATCCCGTAGAACACTAACTCGTTAAAAAAACGCTAACCAGAAAAAAACAATTCAAACCATTTAAACTCCGCCCTGGGAGTTAGAAGGTCTTCATTTAGAAGAATCATGACGCCTGATGTTGAAAGCCAAGTTCCTTCGGAAGCCACGAGGCCGATGCCTCTCCTAACAACCAGAGCAATAATTTTTATAGGTACATGGAACGTCCGGACAATGTGGAAGACCGGGAAGACCAGTCAAATAACAACGGAAGTGAGGAGATACAAATTGGCAGTACTGGGAATCAGCGAAACCCATTGGACCCAAGCTGGACAACAAAGGCTAAATACGGGAAAGATGCTGCTATACTCCGGCCACGAAGAGGAAAATGCTCCACACACTCAGAGAGCTGCTCTGATGCTGTCCAAAGTAGCACGTAATGCAATTGTAGGATGGGAATGTCACGGATCCAGAATCATCAAAGCATCATTCAAAACAAAAAAGGAGGGGATCACAATGAATGTTATCCAATGTTATTCACCCACCAATAATATCAATGACGACAATAAAGATCGATTCTATGAGAGGCTGCAATCAACCATAGCGAAGTGCCCAAGAAAGGACCTCAACATTATGATGGAAGATCTAAACGCCAAAGTCGGAATAGACAACACCAAATGTGAAGATATCGTGGGACAACATGGACTGGGAGAGAGAAACGAAAATGGGGAAATATATATGCATTCAACAAATTGGTTATAGACAGCACAATATTTCCACACAAACGTATGCACAAAGCTAAAGGGATCTCACCGGACCACACCACAGAGAACCAGATAGATCATGTTTGCATCAATAAAAAATTCCGAAGGACAATGGAAGATGTGAGAACCAGGACAGGAGCTGCTATAGCTTCAGATCACCACCTAGTTGTAGCCAATTTAAAACTGAAGCTAAAGAAGAACTGGACAACTGGACAAAAAGCACTACAAAGGTTCAATACAGCCTTCCTACGAGATACTAACAAACTCAACGAACTCAAGATAGCTCTCAACAACAGGTTCCAAGCTTTACAGAACCTACTGAAAGAAGAAGAAACTACTATGGAAGACAACTGGGAAGGTATCAAAGAAGCACTAACTTCAACGTGTCAAGAGTTCCTGGACCGCAAGAAGCATCATCATAAGGAATGGATCTCTAAAGAAACACTGAACAAGATCAAAGAAAGGAATAACAAGAAAACAGCAATTAATAACAGCCAAACACGAGCAGAGAAGGCCAAAGCACAAGCTGAGTACACAGAAGAAAACAAGCAAGTGAAGAAGAGCACTGAAGCCGACAAGCAGAAATACGTGGAAGAACTAGCAACGACGGCGGAAAAAGCTGCAAGAGAAGGAAATACGAAACAACTATATGATACAACGAAGAAACTAGCAGGAAAATAGATTATTTATTTATTCATTTGAACACATAAATATTGGTACAAGGGGGCACCAGATATAGCAAACCAGAGAAACCTGTCAAGGACAAAGAATGCAGACCAATTAATGAAATTCAACAACAGAGGAACAGATCGGTAGAGTACTTTGAGGACCTCTTGAATAGACCGGCTACATTGAATCCTACGGACGTCGAAGCAGCACACACAGATCTTCCTATACATGTCCCTCCACAACGACCGAAGAAATCAAAATGGCCATCAAACAAATCAAGAGCGGGGAAGCAGCAAGACCCAAAAATATACCAGCTGAAGCACTGAAGTCAGACATCGAAGTAACTACAAACATGCTTTACCTTCTATTCAAAAATATTTGGGAGGAGGAACAAGTGCCGATGGACTGGAAAAAAGGATACCTCATCAAGATTCCAAAGACATGAGATCTGAGCAAATGTGAAAACTATAGAGGCATTACACTACTGTCGGTACCAGGGAAGGTCTTTAACAGAGTGTCGCTGAACCAGATGAAAGATGCAGTAGACGCCCAACTTCGAGGTCAACAGGCTGGATTCCGTAAGGATCGGTCGTGCACAGACCAAATTGCGACACTACGAACCATCCTCGAACAATCAGTTGAGTGGAACTCGTCACTGTACATCAACTTCATTGATTATAAAAAGGCATTTGACAGTGTAGATAGGAGGATGTGATGGAAGCTTCTTCGACACTACGGAGTTCCTGAGAAGATTGTCAACATTATCCGGGACTCATACGATGGACTACAGTGCAAGGTCGTGCATGGAGGGCAGCTGATAGATGCATTTCAAGTAAGGACCGGACTCAGACAAGACTGTCTACTCTCTCCCTTCCTCTTTCTTCTGGTGGTCGAATGGATTATGAAGACCTCGACATGCAACTAAAAGATTTGGAGTTTGTAGAAGACTTAGTCCTTCTATCTCATACACGCCGACAGATATAGGTGAAGACAGCATCAACGTTTGCAGCAGTATACCTCAGCATACTCAACATCCATTGGCCGGATACCACCAACAACAGCCTACGGCGGGAGAGAACAAACCAGCTTCCAGCTGAAGAAATTAGGAAAAGACGGCGGAAATGGATAGGATATAACATTACGCAAACCACCAAACTGAATCACGAGCCAAGCCCTAACTCGGGATCCTGAAGGGGAGCGGAAAAGAGGAAGGCCAAAAGACACATTACGTCGGGAAATAGAAGCAGATATGAAAAGGATGAATAACAACTGGAAAGAGTTGGAAAGGATTGTCCAAGACAGGATTGGATGGAGAGTACTGGTGGGTGGCCTATGCTACTCCACGAGTAACAGGCACAAGTAAGTT